TAAATGCAACCATAATTGCCCACCTCTAGAAAATTAGTAGCCTTGCTATTCTTGTCAACAAACTTACAGTGACACATTGGCCTGGATTAGCTAGTCAGCTAACATTATTTGCGTCCAGCAGCGTTGCTCAACCCAGTTTGTCCAGAAAAAAAAAAAAGAAAAGAAAAAGAAAATCCGTGTATAGTCTTTAATTCTTACTGGAGTGTTAGTTCTGAGATAAGTCGTGGTCTCAAATGAACCGCTGCCTTGTTCTTTCACGCCTTCGGCAGGTTGAGCCCCCGTACGGTCTTTGAAGAAGCACTGAGAGGCAGGGACACGTGACGCTACAAACAAGATGAAAGGTGAAGCCAAAATGTCAGCCGAGCCACTTTTCAGCAGATGAGAATCTGCTAACCGCGGAACCGTCCCCAGTAATCATACTTAGGAGTAAGCTAAAATGTGGAAAGGAGACAGGAACTAGGTCAGTGTTCTTACATCAGCTGCTGAGAGGAGGTATGATCTTACACATAATGAAAAACCTCTTCACCGAGACAGGTTGAAAATGTCCAAAGTTTTTCCAGAAAGTTGTTGCCAATATTTCTGCGCATAGGCAAAGATGAGAAAAATTATAAAGTTTAGATTGAATCATTATTTATGAAAAGCAGGTGGCATGAAACCCAACCGCTTTTATTGTTTGTTGCAAACAAAAAAACTTGATGGAACAAAAAAAGTGAAGAAAACACACACAAAAAAAAACAAGAAAAAAAATGACAATACAAAACAGACCCATGAATAAGATACAATATCTTCACATTTCACAAGACCCAGACACAGGCAACATTAAACTACCAGAGTAATAACAGGCAGAATCTGATTCAAGGCAATCATATTGTTTTATGCCAGTAGTATATTTGCCATTTACCTCCAGCACATACATACTTCAAAGCAAAAAAAAAAAAAAAGTAAAATCCGGAGAGCATATTTTGATGCAGTACATCAGTGATCCACTGTTGACCCAAAACCTTGTGTTTTCCCACCTTTCTTCACTTTCCTCTCCCTCTCCACGCCCATCAATTTGAAACATACCCAAAAGAAATTTCTGATCAAATTTAAAATACATAAATTTGGGCTGTACCAATTCACTTACTGATTTGGTTACTTGATTATGAAAATTCCTCGAGGCAAATGATCTGCCTTGAAGCTTTGTGAAACAATTTTTTTCCCATTGGGACGCAATGTCTGTTGCGCAGGGACCTGACACGTTATTTCAAACTTCTACCGTGCTAAAACATTTCCAGACCTCTGAAACTTTCCCTCAGTTTTAGCTTTTGTCTAACGTCTTCCAGCTCCATTTTATTGCTTGTCGTAACCGCAGGGCGAGTCAAGTGCAAGTCTCCTGGGATGTGTGACTGATGAGACAGGAGTCGAGTGCACAGGCAGTGGCTGCGCTTGTTACAGTGAGATTAACTTCTTCACCTTTCTATTCTCACTAGGGTAAACTCACCTCCTCCCCTTGTTACACGATGATAAGCAAATTAACACAAATTTGTAAGCTTACACGCCACAGAAGTCTGAACTGAACCCCAAATACCAACCAGATGCTTTCAGGTCAGGTTCTAAACTCTATTAAACATCCACTACATACAGTATGTGTTTGGTTCAATGCGCCTCAATGCAGAGGTAACGGTACGCAGAGGTGGACGTGGTGCCAAAACGTTGCACTTGTGTAAGAGTAGCACTGCTTCATCATATTTTTACTTCAGTAAAAATAAAATTAGAAATTAAAAGCAAAAAGTAGCTGATCAAATTTAAGTGAAGAGGAAATGTTCATGTTTTAAAGGACAAAAATGACAATAATTCATATAAGTAACAAAAAAAACCCAAAATCATGCAAAATACTTTGTTTTTCCCAAATCAGTTTCTTTCAATAAAAAATAAAAAAAATCAAAAAAACTTATGAAACTTTAACAAAAACTGTAGCTGTGTGTCTGTATCTGGTGAATTGTTGGTTAAAACATGTTTGTTCTTCATTCAGTGAGTCGAGAATCAAGAAATTGCCCTCAAATACGTGAAATTACTCAAGTACAAGTAGAAGTAAGTAAAGTACCTTTTTTTCCAAAAACAATCATTCAAGTAAATGTAACCCAGTACCCAACTCTGACAGTATGTGAGGAAACTTTGATCTCTCATCCCCTGATCCGAGCTCCCCTTGAAGAAACGCTGCAATTAGATCAGCTCAATATAAACATGCAGTGGGGCGACTAAAAGGCCTGATCCACGCCGAGGCCAAGCGTCGTACATTAATTAAACGTTCTCTTTGTTGCGTACTATTTGTAATGACTGGCAAATGTGACAAAAGCAGCGACGTCCTGTCAGACTGTGGGCTTCGTCCGTGTCAAAGCTGAAACCAGGAGGGCAATCGGAGGCGTTCGTACCGCCTCAAACGCAGAGGCGAAGCTGGGACGTGGAGAGCAGCGGGGTTGAGGACTACATTAACATTTGGCTCATTATCGAGTCACTTTTTAAAACCCTGGCACAAAGGCTGTTGACACAAGCAGACATTCTTCAAGATGTGAAGGCGCACACTGAGCCAGGCATTAAACTTTAACCAGGCAGACTCGCTAAATATTTAAGTGGTCTGTTCATCATAGGCATGAGGCCTGACACAAGCAGTAGATTTAGCTTCATGATAGCGCTTGATGGAAAACTATGCTGAAGTGTATGCATGTGCTGTGTGAGACTGCTCAGCACAAACATTTTTATTTATTTTTCACCTCCCCCACCCAATTTCAATCAATCCGGAACCTAGTGGTGCACACTAAACTGCTGGGCCGCTGTCAGGACCAGTGATGTGTTTCCTTAGGCTACGGTACATGAATGTGCAGTCTGCACACGGCTCTTCACGACCAATCACTGTCTGTCTTTGTTTCCAAGTAATGAGCAGCTATTTGAACCTAATTGGTGAGCTGTTCATAGAAAGGATCCTAAATGCAGATTACTTCAGGGTGTTTGTAGAGCGTTTGTTGGCATGTTGGCCACTGCATGCTGACATCCAGAGGTGGGCAGAGAACCCAAACACTGCACTCAGGTAAAAGTAGCACTACAGCATATTTTTTCTCAAGTAAAAGAAGCTTGAAAATCAAGATGTATTTGTGTCTGCATCAAAAATACAAGTGTGGATCTTGTTCTGTGTGCTTGTGAATTACGACACAGCTTTAGCTCCGTACATACGGAGAGTGGAAAAACAAGAGGGCCGGTCTGCGCCTGTTCACATGAAATGAGTGAAATTAATTAATGGGGCCACTTTATAAATAATGTGCTTTAAATTTTAAGACTTTGAGTGAAATATCAAGTCTTTTCAAGCAAACAGCTTCAAGTCAAGTCCCAAGTCAATGGTGTGAAAGTCAGAGTCAAGTCTGAGTCTTTGAGCATTATTTCAATTCAAGTCCTGATTTTAATGACTAAAGTCCCCACCTCAGAAAATCACTTAAGTAAAACCAAAAAGTACAGAGTAGTAAACATACTCCAAAAAGTAAATTTTTTTCAAAGAAGTTATTCAAGTAGCCTGAAACTTTTGGTAACACTTTAATTGAAGGCGTGAGCATAGGACTGACATGAAACCTGTCAGAAACATGAAGGAGTCTTCATCAATGTCTATGACTGTTTCATGAAGAGTCTGTCGGTAAATAATGACACTTTTAATTGACCTTTAATGCAAGTGTGCTTTGAAATGTCATTATTTTCCACATAATGCAAAGTTGACACTTTCAGCACAGCATTTAATGCAAATTTGTATTAAAAGTCTCATCATTTACCTGATGCCACATCATGACAGCAGTCATAAACCGTCATGAAGACCCCTTCATGTTCCTGTTATGTCATGTTTATGTCAACGTCAAATGAAGCGTAACCACAATCTTCAAGAAACATCTTGGTATGGTATGTGTTTAAATGTTTGAGCAGCATTATAGGAAGGGAGGTTAAAAGAAAAAAAACAAACCCAAAAAGAACAAGCCTGTGATGATCATGCACAGCTCCAAAAATAGCTTCACAGGATGGTGTGACATCACCAGCCCTGCGCAAACAAAGTTGATCATTAACTCTGTGGTTTCACCCAGGAAGCATCACATGTAGAGAGAATCACGACCGTGGACACACGGGAAAGGCTGCACTGTACAGGACCTCTCTCTGACAACATGTCTCACACTACAGGTCACTGAAAACAGACATATCTGTTTATAAATCACATGTCAAACCTGAGGCCCAGGGGCCAAATGTGACCACCCCTTGCTTCTCATGTGGCCCTCCAGACTTCATATTACATCAATAAGTCACTCCAGTTTTTCACAAATATGCAAAATTCACACAAAAGCAGCAAATCCACACATTCTTTTTCTGATTTTTACTGCAACATCTCAAAACTTTGAGGCTAAGTGAGAGCTGCCTCAGCCTCATTTGATGTTAGGTTATAGTCCACGACCCCCACTGTCAGGACTCTGGGTTTTTGGGTTGGTTTTGCTTTTAATTTTAATTAGCTTCATGTTTTAGTGCACTTTAGTTTATCCCTTCATGATCCTTTTGATATTTATATTTGAAGTATCTAGTGTAATAAGAATTGTCTTATTGTTTTCCCTTTTTTCAATCCTTTATATTGTTTCTAGGTTTATTTTTTAGTTACCTTAAGTTCGGTCCTTGTTTGTCTGAGTCCATGTCGAGCCTTTTTTAATGACTATAGTTTAATTCTATTTTATCCTGCTAGTTATTTCTTATTTCAGCCTGATTTAATTCATTTTAATTTAAGAAACACTGAATGCTGAAAGAAACAGCTTTATATCAATATTTTAACAGTTTAATGTGTTTTATCAATACATTCTGGTCCAAAATGAAAGTCTGCTCAACTCCCCTGTTCTAAATCGTTTCAAGCTTTTCGTTCATAACTTTGGGGTCTTTGATCTTCTCCATGCATTTTCTCAAAGTTGACCCCTAATCTGTCAAAATGCAACCTTGTGACAGGTACTCACGAGTGGCGGTGGCGTCTGTGAGACGTGGCGGAGGGCTCCTCCGAGTCCGGCCTGGAGAAACAGGGGAGCAGAGAGCTTACACACCATCTGACCACATGAGATCAATTTTATTGTCCCTCACAGGTAATTTGTTTTGTGGCAATCAAAGCGCAATCGCAAAGAGTGTAACAAGAATTAGAGTAATAACTACAATGTCCATAGTGTTGGATATTATGCACCAAGTCTCTACTTGGTCGTATCTCAAACTATTAATGAGATGGCAAATGAACAGTTCTGTCTTTTTGCATTTTATTTCTGTTTATCAGTAAGCAGAATCCAGAAACCTGTAATGACAGTTGAATATGGAGTTTTACTGCAACATATCAATAAGACATAGAGCCGATGGTGGAGACGATGGTAGTTCGTCCGGTCATTGGCTGGTTGCTGGTTTGATCCATTGTCTCTCTGTTATTGTGTCATCGTGGAAGACACTTCAGCTGCCTTGCCTGCTGGTGGTGGTCAGAGGGCCCAGCAGGTGGCGCTGGTGCATGGCAGCCTGGCCTCTGTCAGACTGCCCCAGGATGGCTGTGTGTGTGTGGGGTGTGGGGTGTGTGTGTGTGTGTGTGTGTGTGTGTGTGTGTGTGTGTGTGTGTGTGTGTGTGTGTGTGTGTGTGTGTGTGTGTGTGTGTGTGTGTGGCTGACTGTATGTAAAGGGAAGCGATTTATGGTCCTCTGGACTTCAACAACTGACGCCCAAGTCTTTATCAAGCTCTGTATGTGATGCTTCAAGCATTAGTAAATATTTATTTGCATCACAACTGGGTCAAAAATCAGCCAGTTGGCTCAGTTACTGTCATGTAAAGTAAAGTAGTTTACTGAACATGTAAAGTCCAGGAAAGTACTGGACTTTTGAGCGTGTCATGTCCAGTAAACTATTTTACTGGACATGACACGCTCAACAGCAGATCAGTGTAGTGAGTGAGGGAGAGGAGATTGGTTCACTGGTCTCTATGGAAACTACGGGGTATGATGAAGGAAGGCTTCAAGGAAATGAGTCATTCTCCATTTCTCATTCAGACTGATGAGTTCTTCACTATATAGTGACTGGAGACGTACAGGAACTGACCAGTTATGTTGCTCCAAAGTTTCTATTGGTTGAACTCAGTCTATGACTGAAGTTGGTGTGTTGTGGCAACTGGTTCTAGATATAACAGTGGCGCGGAGCGGCTTATTTAAATGGGGATTTTGCCAGTGGTATTGGCCGTCATCATGGAACGCACCGGAGAGCAGAGAGGCCATGAAAGAAAGATGAAGTTGAAAGCAATGGAGTTGGAGGAATTCTTATTACAGTAATATTAATACATTTTCCTTAAATAAGTATCTCCAAGTAGAGCAATATAAAAAAACATTTTAAAAAAATATCACTGCAGCTCTTAACAGCTGCATCTAACTCTGCCAACTCTCTTAAAACTACATTTATTACATAGGTGAATAAGTACAATATAGGCTCACTGTTTATGTTTGTCACGGTTTATTGTGACAGATGTGTTTGATGGTGTCCTATATCAGTGACAGGCTACATTTTGACTTACCCTCATGACATCACAAGATGGCGCTAGCAAATGGCAGAGTTACTGCAGATTAATTAACAGTGGCCTTTACAGTACGCTGCAAAAAGTATTTTTTATTAAAAGCTTTTGTGTGCACAGAATGAAAGCACAATAATTCGCCTTTTTAAACCACGTCTGTCGTTTTATTGAGTCAGTCACACTTTAAGAAGTTCTGTCAAACATTTTGAAGACCCAGGAACATGGACAAGGTTTTACAAATAAACAGTTAAATGGAACAAGACATTTCAATTGCTGATAGTAAACAGGAAATATTTTATATCTGTATATTTTCCTTAAGCTTAGTTATTTTTTTTGTATATTCATTTCTGAACCCAGCAAACTGAATTAGGCATGCATGACTAATCAGAGTGCAGTGGAGCGTGAGAGCAGCAAACATGATGCTGCGTAGTGGGGAGCAATGATTAGCTGATTACAGCTGCACTAGATAATCTAGCTGATCTAGCCCGTTCTCCACACCCTATGGCATGGACTAACCTCCACAGAGGCGGCACAGCAACAAGCTGATGCCCAAAAATCCTAAAACATCTGCTGCTGCTATATACATATGTGGGGTATATATGTATGCAACCCATAAGGTCAACAATGCCGAGTCGCAAACGCGAGTGAACAGACAGGGGAGCGTTAAAGTGGTGTGCTCCCCACGCAACTTTCACATTTATAAAAAGTTAAGAAAGTTTGTGTAAAACCAATATAGCATGTACAAATTACTACAACAAATTATCTTTCTATTAAAGCACAACCAGTTTATGTTGGCATGCCCGGGTTGTTGAGTTGTTTTGGAATTTGCTTTCATTCTAGGTTCGTTGTTATTTTGTTAGTTCCTTCTTTTGATTAGATCAATCTTATTCCTGCTCTTCAATTCAGTTCTTTCTTACTGATTCAGGTTTATTTCTTGTGTTTTTCTGTGCTCTCCCTCACTCCCTGTGACACTTCCTCTCTCTTCACTCACACCTGCAATCAGTTAGCTAATCTGCCCAGGTCTTTTGTCCAGCATTCAATCTCCCACTACTTAAGCTCCTTATTGTCAGACACTCCTTGCCGGTTTCTCTCGTCTACTCTGGTTATTTTTCCAGTCCGTTCCATGCCATCCCTTCCTCCCGGATTTATGGTTTGTCTTCTTCTTTGGATTCCTCGTCTTCTTGTGATTTCTGTAAGCCTTTTGCTCTTCACCTTTTTGCAGCACTTTTGCAGCTCCATTAACAACGCACATCATGACACTTTATGATTAATGGCTTGTACTTGGGTCGTGCTTTATGAAGTTCAGAGGACCGCTAAGAGCTTCACAACAGCAAGGTGGGTGAAAAGTCTTTCCCGAGGACACAACGACAAAGGTGGACAGAGTGGGAATCGAACCGGCCACCCACCAAACGAGGGACGAACTCTTACAACCACTGTTGTAGGTAATATTTCTAAATTGAGGTTTTCTTTGTCACTATTTTACTTTTTTTCCTCATCAGAACATTTAAAATTATAAAACACATAAGTAAAAACCAATAATTGAAAAGGGAGTACAAATGCATATAGGAGAACATTTTGGGGTTAAGCAAGATATCTAAAAAACCATGAATAACAAAACCAGGCAGCAGAAGAATGTCAAAGTAATTGCATGTTGTCACCTCTTACCATACGGTGTGTATCCCTTTTTTCCAGAAAGCCATCCCCTTTTCTTCTTGTTAAAGAATTGAAAGGTCAAATGCTCCATGCTCTGAATATTATTAACAAAACCCATCCACTGTTTGATAGTAGGAGGGTCTCTGTCAAGCCATCGCTTAGTTACCGTAGTTACAGCTTTCTTTTTTGCCATCGACATGATTTTCAGGACATATCTATCAGGTTTTTTTTCCCAGCTCACAGAATCAAAGGCTTTCGCTGCATCCAAATTAGCAATATAGCTGTTGGTTTTCTTCTTGTTCTATTGTACAGACATTATCTCGGGTTCGCCTACCTGAAATAAACCCAGGTTAATCTTCATTGGTCAAAAAGGGGTAATATTTCCCCCATCCTTTTAGCCAGAACAGTAGCATATGTTTTATAATCCTGGTTCAAAACACCATTTCCTCTGTAAGACCCACTTTTCGTCAAACCCTTCCCCCCACAGAAATAGAGGCCTCTCTCCAAGATGGGGTTAAAACAAAGTTAAAGGAATTAGCCATCATTGACGTTAGTTGTTCCCTACATGACTTGTTCCATTCCTCCGGGAACCCATCAGGTCCTGGGGTTTCACTTGGTTTTAAAAAGGAGATAAGTCTATTTCCAGGGATGGGATTGCTTCAATCAGTTTCTCATTATGCTATCTACCCAGAGATGGGAGATCCAGCTGGTTATTATCTGCACCAAACATCGTGGTGTAGCTCACATAGGGGTTGACACATTTTTTTTCATTTTTTTTTCTATTAATTTTAAATCAAATGTGACTTTCTTGGTAATGGGGTCTTTTATCTTGTAAACAGTGGCATCTGACTGGTGTTTTCGCCTCCAGGATCCTGGAGGCCTCAGAACCCGCCTCCACGAACTTCTTCTAATAAAAATCAAAGTTTTATTCCTCTTGTTCCTCACTGGATCAATTTCCTGTTTTAATTGCCTCATTTGTAAAAGTAATTGTGAGTCTCCGTGTTTTGCCATGTTGTAAATTCAAAAGTTTGTTCCGCAGGTCAAAGAGTCCATGAGCTTTTATCTTATTAGCAAAAGCTGTTTCCGATATTATATAACCCCTCAGGAATGCCTTGACCGCAGTGCACAATGTTGCTGGGATTACATCATCATTATTCAAATATCTTTTCAGCTTCTTGTTTGAAGACGGGATTATTTTTGCATACTTATATTAATTATCCATAATGTTTTTGAATGGATAATATCCACAAGCAGTTTGAAGAGTGGGATGGTCTATCACCTCTAGAGTATACATTATGTTTGCAGGACAAAAATAGAACCGTCAGCGGCATTGGGTGTAGTTTTCTCCAGGGGGCGCTACAACTCCAAAGTACATGTAAATACACCAGCGTGCCTACATGACTGAAAACAGCTGAAGTAACATAATAATGTCATGTAGTGTTTTATTTTAACACAAATTTTGCCCTTCTGTCTTTGTGAAAAGCAAATTTCTGAACGATGTTGGGGTACTCTGCCCACATCTGGTCAGAGCCTGATAAATCAGATAAGTTTTATCTGTAGAGTACAGAATTACTTCAATTACTGGTGATTAGATCATTCATAAACTATCCGGACATAACGATGGCTTTATTAGGAGAATCTGTTTTGTTGTGATTTCTGAGTTTGTTAATAGGAAGGAATTTCGATCCAAATAAAGGACGATACTGTAGGTATAAAGGACGGACCCGGTCCAAGTAGACGAAACATACAGGCACTGAAAGTACCCAAAAGTAGTTTTTTTTTAAATTACACCCAAAAAAAACTTCTTAGTAATGTGGGAAAGGTTATTTTGGGTAAGGGTCAGCATAGTGTCACGTTTTCTACTCAGTCCTGTTCATAGTTAGAAATTGAATTTTACTTTAATTCAGATTGTGCTGTGATGTGTTAAATTGCTCCCGTGTCAGGAACTAACAGTATCTCACAGTGCAGCAGTCGCCTTGATGATTGGGCGCCAGCAGCAGTGGGAGGGAGGCGTGTGCTGAGGGGTGGGAGTGGAGCCGTTTCAGAAACACCTCTCAACCCTACCCCTCTTCTAAAAACCCATCACTGATCGCTTTGGACACAGAGCAGACATCCTCTGCAACACTCACATGAGCATGGACATCAAAGCCCAGAACAGAGTGCAAATTGTCTGTGAACCTCTGACCGAAGTTCAGTGAAGCCTATGCAACGCCGCAGCCAGTCAAGCACAAGCTGAGTGTGTAAAGACCTGACCTTCCCCCCTCCGACGGCAGACAGTAGCGAGAGGCATTAATTATTGAACAAATAACCTCTGATTTTATATCTGATTTTTATGCTGCCCCAATGGCACAAATCAGAGAGTTTGCACAATAAAAGAAGGTCGCTTTGATTTGAGGTTAGAATACTCGGCGACGTGGTAATCCTCTAAAATACTGTTTGGAGTCGTTTATGAAGGGATGCACCTGCTTCAACAGCATCCATATGTATATGGAGGTCCTTGAAGGGCCTTCAGGAATATACATCTTCCTGAAGTTTACAAAAACTGTTGAACTCCGTCCGCTAAACTAGCAGACGTGTCTCAGGCAGGACATTTTTGAGACGTATAAGACTATTTACTGGCATGCCTCAAATTTGTCTCTGTTAAATTTATGTTTCAGAAATTCTTGAATCTATACGGCGCTGCTCTCACAAAGTTCTGTCTATTTCCACCAAGCACCTCCATTGGCTCTTCAGTCTCCTCATCCCCACTCAGCTCCACCAGACTAGTGGCAACAGCATTTAGCAGACACCTGGTGGAGCTGCACGTCTGACAGGAGTGGAACTGCTCTCCTGAGCCTGCTAACAGCACAATGAGAAACGTTGCAACGACGCTGTACAGGCGGAGCGTTGGACAGAACAGGAGCTTCTTAAAGGGATAGAGGCCATTTTTAACAGGTCTAATTGCAAAGTCAAGTCACTTTATGTCATGTTTGATATGTGCAGCATTTTTAAAACGACAGAACCTCACAGCACTATGTGAGACCCTTAAAAAAACGTCCTGGATATAACTCTGCTCAGCAGTCTTGAGGAGACTCTCACAGCTGCACTATTGCAGTTCAAATTTGCTTCTTCATAAAGAGAGCCAGATGCTCTAATCTTCTCCGCAACTTTCTCCTTGGCTTATCTGCTGTGTTCCTTAGTTTTCATGATGCAGTTTGTTCTCTAATAAACCTCTGAGGCCGGTAACGGAACAGCTGCATTTACGCTTAGATTTTATTACATACAGATGGATGCTATTTAGGAAGTAGGTAACTTCTGAAAAGAGTTGAGTAAGGGCTTAATAAAATTTTTAAAAAAGCACGCTGCTGTTTGTTGGTTTTTCTTTGAAGATAACTTTGACAAGTGTTGTTCATTAACCGTCCACTTTATGCATTGTTTAATGTTTGTCTATCACATCCTAACTGAATACTTTGAAGTTTGTGGTTTTAATGTGACAAAACAAAATAGTAAGAATACTTTAAAAGACAGTGTTATACTAGAAAAATGGCTTAAAATCCCATTAAATGGTTGCAAACTAGAACTAAAGCATAAAAACTTGCACTTGTAGAAAACTGAAATAGTCTAGAACACAGGTGTCAAACTCAAGGCACGGGGGCCAAATCTGGCCCGCCGTAGCTTTTTATGAGGCTCTCCAGACTCCAAATTACATCAATACGTGTTTCTGGATTTTCACAAATTCACACAAAAACAAATTTCCTCTTTTTGTTCTGATTTTACTGCAAATTTTCTCAAAATTGGTCAAAAACATTGAATCTGTAACTGATATGGTGAGTGTTAAAGAGTCACATTTAACATCATGCATCAGCACCAATATTGTAAAAATTCCTTACAAACATTTCTAAATATTCAGCAAAAAATAAAAAACAAACAAACAAAGAAAACACTAAAACAATCACAAAATCTTGTCGGAACAGCTATTTATTGGTATTTTAACAGCTTAATTGGTTTTATCAATATATTCTGGCACAACAGGCCCTTTAAGAACATTCAGATTTTAGATGAGTCCCAAAATGAAAATGAGTTTCACGCCTCTGGTCAAGAAAGTGAGTAAAATAAAAAGAAAATCTTGAATTTACCCAAAGGATGCAGACTTCCATTTCAGGCAGGGGTAACTTGTTCTACATAGGGGGTCAAAGACGTTCTGGTGGATCTCAAAGACCCGCGCAGGCAATGAGGCATGTCGTCTGCAACAGAAAGAGAGCAAAACATAAGAAAACAGCAAAATCTGTCAGAATGTAACCTGACATTCTAGTTACATTCTGGTCCAGCAGGAGCCACAAGGAGGTCGATCCTGAGGAGGGCAGTGCGCTGACTCCCACTCAGCAGAGAAAAATTACTTCAATCTGCTGCCTGCAGCATTTTAACAGCTTCAAATCATGAGTGGGGGCTTTCATATGTGCATTATCACAACACGTTGAGTCAGCCAGGATGGTCAACGCAATCAGGAACTAGCAAGCAGTAAGAGAGAGAAAGAGAGAGAGAGAAGTGGAGCAGGAAGATGAGAAACCGTCAGAATGTATCACTGTGATACAGAGATCTTTCCTGACCAGCAGTCATCTAAATTTTAAGAAAATAGGACATTTTTGATAATTTTTCAAACCAGTTGTAGAGTTACAAATACCCTGGGCTGTATTAGTAACCATTGAAGAAGTTCCAAATAAGTCAGCAACCAACACACAGAATACATGTTGGTTGCTGACATACATGCAATTCCTGAGACTTGTCTGCAAGGTAATATCAAATATTCTGCCAGGCTGTTTACAGAACAAGTAGGACTGCAATGGCTTTGAAACTACAATGCTCCTTTCAATGGTCAGAAAACCGTCACTGTAACCCCTTCCTTTGGTAAAACGGAGGACAAAAACTAGAAAGCAAGATACTAGTCATAGACCCTGCATCAGGCAGACCGAGGAGTTCCAGATCTGAAACTTGCACTGGATAAGCAAGTTTCTTTTGAACGATTAAATTTTTTTTAGGGGTTTTGATCAGATAAAGTCAAACATTAATCCACAATAAAGCAGTGGTTTCCACAGTCATGCTGACAGGATACAACTAACCAATGGTGCTTTATACAAAACCATCCATTTCTGTCTGTTATTGGCTGGAAGAGCGGAAGATCTTTCATCGGCATCAGTTGTTTAGAATAGGACGTAACTATTTATGGAGGAAAAGCTGCTCATCAGTGAGATAAAGTCAAAGATTCTTGGATCTAATCACACCTTAGAGCACCATGTCGTGGAACTGGTGTTGCAGAAGGGCTTTGGGATCAGCTCAGCCGCTCTGCTGTGCACCACTGCTTATCCTCCAGAGGCAGATCAACAAAGATAAGACACACAAACCTTTCAAACATGCCAGTATGATCTCAGCTTCAGTTTGCATGGCGCACGAAGCGACGGGCAAAGAAAGGAAACTCCCGGACACCAAAGATGACTTGAGTTTTGCAGAACAAGCATACAAAAATCACAGGGAGCCAAGGAAGAAACACAAACAAAAAATATATGATTTTAAATAAAAATAACAAAAATCCATGGGGAAGAAACCAGCGGGGAGATACAGGAGTGACAGGAGGAACCAGCAAGGGGTGACAGAGAAAGAGGTGCTCAAGTACTGGGATGTTGACAGTCAAGTACTAATTGGTTTCAGGTGTGAGGGGAGAGAGCAAGTGGCTCAGGGGGCGACGAGATGAATCTAACAGTAAAGCTAACATAATAAAACTAGAGTAACTTAAAAATAACTAGACACAAAAAATAAACGTAATAAACTAGAATCAATAAGAAAGGACAGAACTAATGAAAATAAAACAAAAAAAACAGCAATAACAAACATTAGTAGAAGGGTGACTAGCACAAGGAGCACAAAGACATTACTGGATAAAAACAAGAACAAGGTGATCTAACCAAAATAAGAAACACACACAAAATTATAATGGAACCAAAACCACAAAACAAAGATCCTAACACTACTGCATGCCAAAGATCTACAACTAATTGTACGGTAATTTATCTTTTTCAGTGGCATATCTTGCAACAGATGTTGCTGCCATGTCTCTTGATGCCTGAGCAACAAGGGATCATGGCATTCTTCATAATCTGTTTCCTGATTTTCTTCAGGAAAGCCAGACGTAGCCAACAGCTGCTGATGACAGGTTTTATCAAGTATTGGACTGGGGTCAAATCAGGACATCCTCCAGCAGCAGTGCAGTTGATGACAACTTAAACAGTTTGACCACAGGTATTAAAATCTGATCATGATTAAGGCATTAAAAAAGAAAACGAAAAAAAAAAACATCCTTTTGGACACTGAAACCATTTATTTTCTAAATATTTTCTAAGCTGGATTCATCTGAGAGCTTTACAATTCTGCGGGAAGTAAATGAGAAAATATTTGTTTGTTCTTTCGCTGCCAAAATGACATGATTGCAGCTGCAACCACACAGGCTAACCTCTATAACCTCTGGGCAAAAATATGGATGTGGGAAGCATTTTATCTGCCCTCCCACACACACAGCTTAAAAAAAAAAAAAACAGCAATAACAAACATCAGCAGAAGAGTGACTAGCACAGGGAGCACAAAGACATTACTGGATAAAAACTGTACAAGTATCATTTGAGATGATGAATATTAAGAGAATATTTAAAAAACTACTTAATAAGACAGACCAAAACATAAAATGAGTGAAAATAATTCACATAAATATCACAATTACAAAATAAAATTAGGCAAAAGAAACATTTTTCCAGATAACCTTTTTTTAAAAATAAACTTTAACAAAAACTGCAGCTGTGTGTGTCTGTGTGGTGAATTTTTTTGGTTGAAACACGTTTGTTCTTCATTCATTGGGTAGAGAATCCAGAAATGTTGCTCAAGTAGGAGCAGAGATAATTCGTAATAAAATTACTCAAATGAGTACATCGTAGCAAAAATACTCCTAAAAGTACATTTTAGTTACTCAAGTAAATGTAACTGAGTAAACGTAACTAGTTATTCTTATTATATTATGTCTTAAAAATCAACTTTTCAAGTTTATGAAGTTAAAACTCTTTCATGCACTTTGCTTTCTTAACTGGCTAGAAATCATTGCAGCATTCAATAGTAAAAGTCATTTTAGCAGGATTTGGTTTGATATTAACATAGCTGAAGCGTTACATAACCATAACCTTGGTGCCACCATAATCCCCTCCCTTAGACAGCGAGGGCCTAAATCTAGACCAGTGTCCTGTGCTTATAAGTTCATGGCGGTTCAGGCTGGTGACAGCAGTCGCTCTGCCCTGCACGGATTAAAAACACAACACAGAACAGCGAACGCTTCAACAGCCCGGGCAGCACATCTGTGAGCAGATGTCAAAGATTCCAGGAAGTAGATGTCCCGGCTCTCCGTCCTGACGTTAGCAGAGGTTCCGGTGACGTGCCTCGTTGGTCCTTCATATCCTGCCTCAATCCGGATGATGATGGATTATGAGCACAAGCAGGTCGGCGGTGGCAGCAGGCCAAGAAAATGAAACCAAAAACATTCCTGTTGCACAATCCTGCTGCAATTTATAATCCTAAGAACCACTAAGCGTGGCAAATGGGGAAAGCTTTGGCGCTGCTCTGTGCATCTTAATAGAAGAGCAGGATTTGTTATATTACAGCTATTTTTATTTTTTAGTTTTTTTAAAGGTCCTTGTACTCAACTCGTTCAAATTTCTCACACTTCAGGAACAAATTTTATGTTCCTGAAAAAGTTCAGGAACACTTTTTTCTGAATTTTTCAGGAAACAGTGGAAATCCAGGTGGTACCAAGTATCACATCACTATAAAGTATAAATTACAAATAAAAAAAAAACTTTTTTTAAACGGAATCATCAAAATGAACAAAGATAACATTAAATGTTTGTCTGTAAATTTATATAACTGCATTAGTACAGAATATTAGGTAATCAGAAATAGTAACTGGGATGACATTCTTATTTATGCACTCGCATTAATTGTCTATAATAGCTGTTTTTCTGCTTGCGGGGAAAACGTTCTGCCTGATCATATTTAATATTTTGTTCTACAGTATGTTTATTTCACTTAGTCTCCTCATGCTGAGAATCCCATCCTGAGTCCTGCCTAATTTAGGACAACTGCATCCTTCGGACATAAAGTTGTTAAGTTTCACCATTTGGTTATGCATCAGTTTCATCTAAGAATGAATCGACAGAAAGTAAATGGCATCCTTTACACAGCAGAAAAAGTCCTGACCCCATCATATTCAGTCCAGCCCAATCTCAGCATGGTTGCACCGGAGCAACAGTGAGGGAGATGAGTCACAGCGATTTGGTAGCCATAAAATTATTCTTTTTTTTTTTTTTACAGTAACGTTTTATTTGTCAGGAGCTTGTCGCCGGCACGCGGCTCTCATTATCCGGATAATGAGAATCTCTTCACCTACAAAGGAGCTGGGAAAGAGCTCTGCACTCCAGGTTTTTGGGAGAGATAAAGACGCAGCTGGGTAAAGGCAGCACGGCGGAAGTGACAAACAGGAGCAGATGAAGCTGCAGATGTTTGATAGAATCGAGGCTTTTGTCGCTGGCTATTTTAGAAAGCGCAAATTACAAATCCTTAAATGATGAAAACAAGCGTTCTTATGACAGTTGCTTCTTAGCATCTGACGGAGGAATTTTTAGAAAGTCTATAAATGCCTTTCCCCAGGCGACGCTTCGTTGATCATACCGGAACATGAACTGACACCGGCTGGTAAACCTTGAGCAGATTCAGAGATAAGAAGGATCTTGAATGCATTTTCATATTGTTCAGGTCAACATTCTGCCTAATTAGTTTGCAAAGGATCATGTTCTATGAGGCATTCGTGATGCAACCTGGCAGTGACTCAGAGTTCCTCCCAAACAGCAGCATAAACAGCAGCTACACGACCTTACACTCATGCAAATTAAAGCTTATTAGCCTATCTGCTATTTGATGGTTGTAACATTTTTTTTGCATTGTAATTTTTAACTGATGGATTTGATGAAGTTCACAGTTAAATCATTTATTGATTGAACTCTAAATAATTGAAACCAGGTACAATAATTGTCATCTCCTGGCTTATTTTTGGGTTTGTTTATTCTGTATTGGGGAATAAACAAGATCAGTCATAGCTGTTTTACTTTAATTCAGCCCTTCATAGTTTACTGTTAATTTCTTGTGTCTACTTATTTCT